AAAAAACTCATAAAATGTCTTTAGATAAAACCTTCCAAATGAATCTTGACCTTGAAAATATGAACAATAATCTTTCTTAAGAAAATTTTACACTTGTTTTTGATGATGATAATGACTCTTTGTTTATTGTAGATTTATATCTAGATAATCAGCCAGTAACAGAAACAAGTACTAGAGACATAGCAGAAACTAGTGCTAGAAGTGTAGCAGAAACTAATAATGAAGACCAAGAACAAGCTACTGAAGAACATGAACAGTACTCAGAAGAACAAGAACAATGTTCTCTGAAATGACAAAGAACTATATATCCTCTCTGAACCTATTTTAGCTGGTCTGCAGATAAGAAATTTGCTTTTTGCAATTTATGTCACATCTGGTATAGTAAAACCACTGGAATCAGCACAATTAAATGCCATTTTGAAACTCACCATAAAGGAGACTATGATAGACTCCAGTCAACATTAGAAATATGAAATGTTGAACCTTATGGTTCTTGCGATAAAAGAAAAGTTAAACGACTTAATAGACTTCTTATTCATTGGATTATTTGTGATCAACAGGCTTTCCAGGTTGTAGAAAATGAAGATTTTCGCAAATTAATTTTAGTACTTGATCCACGAGTTAAAGTGTCATCAAGACAGACAATTTCTGATCATATTTTACCCATATATGAGCAAGAATGAGCACAATTATGCAGTTTTTTTCAAAACTTCAATCGTAAGGTTGCAATGACTGTTGATACTTGGTTTGCTTGTACCAACCAGGCTTACCTTTCTATTACATTACATTGGATCGACAATAATTGGTGTATACAATATATTCTTCTCAATTTAGTTCCTTTACATGAACGGCATACTGAAATTTTTATTGCTGAAAATATAATAGAGCAAGTAGAGTATTTTAGGCTAGGTAAACAGTTGTTGTCTTTAACTATGGACAATGCTGCGAATATGGATGCATATGGTTATTATTTAGCAACTCTACTTGAATCACGTTATAATAATACAAATTTTTGTAGAATTAGATGTGCCTCTCATATATTGAATCTCACTGTTAAAGAAGAAATTTCAGTTCTTGATAAGTCTGTAAAAAAAGCTCGTGAATTTACTAGTCATATTCACCGCTCTCAGCCTAGCTTTGAAGAATTAAAAAGAGTATTTATGATGAAAAATAAACAATTTCTTGTACCAGATCTGGATGTCGATACCAGATAGAATTTGACATATCTTATGCTCAACAAACTTTGTCGAATCTGAGAAATGACTGATATTTTGGTGGCTTCATTACCTGAGCTTAGAAACTTATATCTAACTAATAATAATTGGGAACAAATAAGTGTAAGGTTTTTTTTTTGAGTATTATATTATATGTAAATAATAACATATATATTTATATAAAATTCATCTTATAGTCAATTATGAAGCTTTTGGAACCGATATATGAAGCAACTAAACTTCTTTCTTCTTCAAGCCACCCGACACTTGGGGACTTAAGAACAGTTTTTTATGTAATTATAGAAGTTCTAGATGATTCTCAGATTGAAGAAGATACGATTAAAGGTCAAGTTGCAAAAAAAATTAGTAGAAAAATTGATTATTATTGGTATGAATTGCAAACATATTTTTACGAAGCAGTTTTTCTCGACCCATCGACCAAATTTACAACCTTTGAACATAGTACTCAGAGGGATGATGCACTACGCAAAATTTGATCAACATATCAAACTTATATACCAGCGAAAGAAAATACTACATCATGAGCTGAAACTCAAACTGAAACAACATCTGCATGTGACTATTTTAGATGACAAATAAAGCAAATACATTGTAGTAGTTTTACATTACATAATGATGTATTGGATGAATATCTTAATGCACTTGATGAGAATGTAAATGTTCTTACTTATTGGAAGACAAAATCTTTATATTCATGTTGGATGCCTCTTGCTTGAATGGCACGTGATTATTTGATCATTCAAGCAACTAGTGTAACTAGTGAGCAGATTTTTTCAATTGCTAAACATACTATAAGTGAAACACGAAATTGTATAGATGCAGAAAAAGCACGTGCAAGCCTTTGTCTTAAAACATGGTACGAAGCAGGAATGATTAATAACTGGAGTAGTGGTGGAAATCAGTTTTCTTAACAAGTTTTTTTAGTTGATAATTATAAAGCACCAACCAATTTTTTTTGCATATTTTTGTTTTATAGACCCACAATTTTTTTTTTAAATAATTTTGGGCTATAAACATATTGATTTTTTTTTACTATTTTAGTTGGGTAATAAGCTTTGCAGCTAGCTTGTTCTAATTAATATGGTTTGTTTTAGGGGAAATTACAAATAAAGGTCCAAAAAATAAAAATAATTACAGATAGGGGCCCGAATTGAAATTAATTATATATTGGGGCCCAATTTTTAAAAACTATTACAAATACGGGTCCTAGAATTTTGATGCATAAAAAATGAATATGTAATTAAATCATTTCATTATCAATACAAGACAAAAATATATTCTCTTTCGTTTAACCTAATAAACTTGTTTTTTGTTCTTTTATAAGCCTAATTGCAAGCCATCATTTGTCTTTTATTATTATAAAAATTCATTATCACTATGCCAAGTACAATACTGCAGGTTGGGATGACATTTACTAATATGGAAAGTGTCAGATCAGCTCTGGATAATTATTCTGTTGAATCTTCTTTACCTTACAAGTTCAAAACTAATAAGCCAAACAAGCTCTTTATTGTCTGTCCTACAACCAATATCAGTACATGCCCATTTACTATCTCTGCCAACAAATGTAAAGATGGCTATATTCATATTGTGAAGTTAATTCAACGTGATCAAAATTGTCCAACATTTACACAGACATTTGAAACACATAGATCATACCTTAGAAAATTTGCTGAACCATTAATTAAGGATATTGCTGCGCTTAAACCTCGTGATATTGTAAACCATGTTCATTCAGAAGTAGGAGCTGAATCATCATATATGGCGGCATGAAGAAGTCTAACTACTAATAAAAAACGTAAAGCAGAGGAAATCAACAGAACTTATCAATGTATAAAATCATTACTTGATTGTTTAGTTATAGCAAATCCTGGAAGTGTTGTTTCGTTTGAGGTTGATACTGAAGACCATTTTGTTTATACATTCCTTTGTCTACAATCATGGATAAAAGCTGCAGAATTCTGTAGAACTGTATATACTCTTGATGCATGCCATTCAAAATCAACTTATAAAGGTGTGTATTTTTGTGCAAGTGCGATTGAAGGTGAAGAAAAACTTGTTTCAATAGCATTCGCTGTTGGTTCTATTGAAAATTCAGATAATTGGATGTGGTTTTGTGAGAACCTGTATACAGCACTTCCGTTAATGAATTCAAATAATTCAGTAATTATAAGTAATCGTGAAAAGGTATTTTATTGAACTATAATATACTTATGTAATATAATAATTTTTTTTTTAATTTATCTATTTATTTATTTATTTATTGTTATAGGGTATTGCAGATGCTGTAAAAATCAAACTTCCTAATGCTTTTTATGTGCATTGCATATGGCATATTGAGAAAAATGTTAATACAAAATTTCGAACAAAGCTTGCAGGAAAAATTTGGGCTGCAGCAAAGACATTGCATATAGAAAGTTTTAATGAAATTATGGAGGAAATTTCTAATTTACATGCTGAAGCTGTGGTTTATCTTAAGGAGATATCTTCTGAAACATGGACTTTTTGCAAGTGCCCTCAAAATAGATTCAGGCATCTTACCTCTAATGTATCTGAATCTTTTAATTCTTGGTTACATGATGAACGTTTTACAGAACCATTTGAAGTAATTATTTTGCTTATACATAAAGTCAACACACTCTTTTATAACCATCGTACTGCATATTCCTCAGTAAAGACAATTTTATCACCAATAACTACTCAGCAGCTTCAATCTGTTATTGATAAATGTCGTAACAGAATAGTGTATCAAGCTAATGAATCAGTCTTTAAAGTGAAAAGCGATGATAACAATTTTTGTATTGTAGATCTTGCCTTATTAACCTGTACCTGCCAGCACTTTCAGCAGTACCAATTTCTTTGTGTCCATGCTTGTGCTGCTATTCTTAAAAATCACCAGCAACCATCACAATTTACACATTTTACATACCACACTGCTACTCTTAAAAATGTTTATAAGGAGTCTGTTTAGCCTGTGGATGTAAAAATGTGTCTTCCCAATAACAAAACATTACCACCAGCTACAATTAGACAGGCAGGTCGGCCACGAAAAATTTGCTTATGTAGTCGTGAAGAAACTGCAATAGAAGATCAGATTACTTGCGAAAAATGTGGTAGTAAAGGTCACAACTCACGCACTTGTGACTGACAACAAAAAAAAGCAATTAAAAAAGCTTAATGCAGCAAACTTTGCTTTTATGCTATTGCGATTTATATATTTTTAATAGAATATGCGCAATTAATATAACAATAAATAAGTATTTATTAGCGTAACTTGCACTTTGGGCCTGTATTTGTAATAGTTTTTAAAAATTGGGCCCCAATATATAATTAATTTCAATTCGGGCCCCTATCTGTAATTATTTTTATTTTTTAGGCCTTTATTTGTAATTTCCCCTTTGTTTTATTTTATCACATGCATTCATTTAACAATTTTGCTAATTTGAAAATAATATCATTTAGTTTATCAAATATAATGTGATAATATCAATATTAATAAATTTGAATAAAAGAGTTATTGTTGCTTGATAAATATATAATTAAATAACTTGTAATTAGCAAATCAACTTATTCATCTTTTACTAAGTGCTTACTTTGCTGTAAAAAATTTAAAACTGATGATTAAAGATGAAACAACATTAAGAACAACATTGGTTAATACATTGATTGATGTTTCTAAAGATTTTGTAACCAGATCCATAAAAGCTAAAGCAGCATAGTTAATAAATTATCATAAACCCATAATATGTAGCACTGCAAAAGTTACAGCAAAATCATATGATTCTATTGTATAGCAAGTTATGATGCAATCTTAATTTGTTAGTGTGTATGTAGTTTTGTTAGTATGAAACTTTGAGATTTTGATTCATTTATTCAATTTCTGACTAATTAAAAATTTGTCACTAATCTATTGATTTAGGTGCTTGAGAACAACTTTCGTCTAACAACTATAAATCTAA